TTTTTATAAGATTATAAATATTCAAAATATGATGTTAATATTATTAATATTAAAAAAGAAGTCAGTGGAGAAAATAATAAAATTTTTAAAGTTAATATTTATTCGATTAATAGAATTTTGTTGTATCTTTATCATTTTTCTTAATTATTTTATATCTAATAATTAATTTTATTTGTAATCTTATTTAAATAGAATTATATATTTTTCTTTTTTCATTATTATATCGGATATTGTTGCTTCTATACAATATTATAATCATGAGAATATTATCATAATTAAGTCGAATGAAAAAAATAAGCATTGTATGTAAATATGAAGATATATATCTATTTGAAAACAATAAATTTAAATATGTAATAGATATTCGCGCGGAAATTATATCTATCTTCTTTTTCTTTTTTAAGACCTTTTTTCTTTTTAAAGAAAAAAAATTTGTAAATTTCTTTTATAAGCTATTATTTTAAAATACAGAATATAAAAAGTATTTTAAATATTCAAATGCTTTTTCTTTTTATTCTTAATATAATATTTGCTTCCTTTTGAAAATATATTTCTAGATCGATATACAATGGATGGTCTTAAATTGCGATCCTACGAGACCTGAGAGAGAGACCTGTGAGGAATTACTGGCAAGTCTATACATATATTTTAGACAACCTCGCAATCCATTAAGATCCCATGGTTGTAATTAACGTAATTGCAGAAGAGCCTTAGCAGCCCTTTATTACCTCAGAGAAGAGTTAGCTGTGAAATTATCTGTCCACAGGGATCTCCTGGAATTAATGGCACTAATGTAAGTTAATTCTTCTTTTTATTGCTAAACATTTTCATTCGATTTCCATTCAACATTTAATCCTTTCAAAATAGCACATTAATAAAATAATTTCCCCTTAACTAATATAAAACGTATTTTTTAATATTAAATATTTTCTAATTAACTTTTTTATAATACAATGACACAAATCGGGATATTCAGATTTCATAAAGAGTTATATCGAATATCACGGATATCTGGTTAAAAAGAATAATAATAATCCCAGTATTTATGGATATTTGGATCTTTGAATCCAAGTATTGAATATTTGAGTATTCAAATAAATTCATTAAATAATTATTTATGTATTCAACTTCAAATATCTGTATCAAATAATAGATCTGAGCAATAGTAAGAACTCTAAGTCTAACAGAATCTTACTTCAATAATATATAAAGTTGCATCAAAATGAATATATTTTTTAAAGTTATGTAGGAGTTAAAATTTATATTTTAAATTGTATAATTATGTAATTAATATAAATAATTATATAAATATATTTATTTAGGGTTTACCTGGTTTACCCGGATTACCTGGGCCACCTGGACCAATCGGAAAACCCGGTTTACCTGGACATCCGGGTTTACAAGGACCGCCTGGCGAGCAAGGCAAAATAGTGAGTTTTTTAATAATAAATAATATTAGATATTTTTAAAATATGATATATATTAAAATATATATCATATAAATATATGATATATATTGATGTGTTTTATTGTAAATTATTATGCGATTATTAGGGGCCGCAAGGGTTTATTGGTGCACGAGGATTTATTGGCGGTCCAGGTCCTAAGGGGTCTTCTGGACCTATTGGACCACCTGGTCCAAAAGGAGAACGTGGAGAAAGAGTGGGCTTATACATTACATTTATATATTATGTCACTTTTGATTAATTATTTTTTTGAATTTACTCTTAACTAATATAATTGGTTAAGATAGTTACATTTTGCTTAGTTTGTTTTTTGCAGGGTGACATGGGATTTCCAGGATTGAAAGGAGATCAAGGTCTTCCAGGGCCACGAGGTTATCCAGGACCTCCAGGAAATATTAGCAACTATCGCGATTTTCTATCACGATTTACAGGATTATCAGGACAAAATGGTTCAAAAGGAGAGAAAGGGGATCGTGGCGGTAAAGGAGAACAAGGCCAAAAAGGTTGTGGCTTAATATATATTTTTAAAAGTTTCTTTCTTAGATTAGTGTAATTGTATCGAATGTTAATTGTTCGTGTTAAATACGATTACATGGATTTATCAGATAAGTAATCCTTAAACTGTAGCGTAAACTAATTTAATCTTGTTAGAAAATCGCATGGAATTGTGGGTGTCCATTGTCCACGTGCGCGATAGTGATTCATCGTTATATATATTATTCTGCCAATGAACATGGAATGCTTATTTTTTAGTATCCAAAAAATTTAATAATAAATTTAATAATAAGAAAATTTGATAATAATTATTCATATTTTTGTTTAAAATTTTGTTTGTCATGAAAATGAATTTCTTATATAAATACAAATTTTGTTATGATATTATATGATGTTATCTTTTGATTTAAAGTGTTGCTAATGAATAATAAATGAATTTTCTTCGAATTAATTAATGCATTAATTACAATGTTACAAAAGATCATTGACACTTTTGAAGAAATGATTCCTTCCAATAAACTATGTCAATAGTCTCATATTTAAAGGTCGAGCGCAATCGAGTAATAGCTTCAACTATCTAACTAGCATATTTCCATTTATTCTATTTTCTCTCTTTCTTCTTCTTTTTTTGGTTCTTATAAATCTGTACAAAATATATAAATTATAAATTTGATATTATACATATTTATTCACGTTACATGAATTTTAAATTTAAATTAAATAAAAAAATTATTTTTAAAAGCTATTAAAAAATTAATTAATAGCACAACAGTTAAAAGATAAATTTTAATCAAACAATAATTTTAATATAGATAAATATTATCTTTTCAATCGTAAAAAAGGAAATCATCTAAAGGTTAAAAATATATTAAGGATTTGATTTTATATTACTTTCTTTTATATTATTTTTCTTTCTTTTGATTTGATCACTGGTATATAAAAGTAAATATCAAAAGCTATAATTCTAGTATTTTCTTACGAGTGACACAAAAACGATATATTGTCATCTATATCGACATCGACCTAAATACAGTTATTCAAAGTGATTGTAAATCAATTTGTTGCAATCTGCTGCAATACTCGTAAACCCATTGCTTTTATTAATCACTAAATGTATATTCGTTCTCAAAATAGAAGAGACTAGTAGTTCTTAACATATATCTAATTGCAGAATTTTTACTATTAAATGATCTAGTTTAAAATATATAATAAATATATAATAAATTGAAAGCAAATTATGAAAAAAATTTTAAAAAGAGCAAAATTATAAAAAACGTTTATACTTGTTTTTAAATTAAATTGTAAAGTAAATTTTTTAAATAAAAACTATAATTATATTTTCAAAGGCTAAATCAATAATTACATACATAATCATTATATGTATTAATTTAAGGTGAAATAGGAGAAAAAGGTTATCCAGGTCAAAACGGATTTCCTGGAATAGAGGGAAAATCAGGACTTCCTGGTTTTCCAGGTCTTAAAGGAGAAATAGGATTTCCTGGAATACCGGGTCCGCAGGGATTACCAGGTCCTCCAGGTAAAATTGGAGCTCCTGGAATTCAAGGAGCAAAAGGAGAAGTTGGAGAACCCGGTCGTGATGGTTTGTAAATTAAATTGAAAATTAATATTTTCTATATAAATTATTAATATATTAAATTTACTTATTTAGGTTTACCAGGTTCAATAGTTGGTTCAATAGTACCAGGACAGCCTGGTCCTCAAGGTTCTCCTGGAATACCTGGAGAAGACGGTCTTCCAGGAATAAAAGGAGAACCTGGTCCTATTGGTCCACCGGGTCTTCCAGGATTACAAGGAAAAAACGGTCCTCCTGGTTCTCCAGGACCACCGGGATTACAAGTAAATCTATATTAAATTGAATATCGAATTTACTTTTTTAATAATTAATAATTAATTGAGATTCGTTTCAATTTTTATTGTACAAATAATAAGGCAAATTTGGTTGAATTATAAATTAGGGTTTATCTGGAGAACCAGGTTCTCCAGGTCCTCAAGGAATAGATGGTCCTATTGGAAAACCAGGATTACCAGGACTCGATGGACAACCTGGAAATAAAGGTGATAAAGGTCAGCAAGGAGAACAAGGATCTGTCGGGCCACGTGGTTTACCTGGAAGTATTGTAAGTTTAACTTTTTATTGTTGTTAAACAAATCATATTTATGTTTCATTCATAATCTAATTTTTAAAATTTAAAAAATAGAAAGAAAAAAGATTTTTCGGTTTTTTAGGGTGCGCCAGGTTTACCTGGAGTTGCTGGTATTCCAGGCTTAGAAGGACGATCAGGTTTACCAGGTCCTCCAGGACCTCCTGGACCACCGGGTTTACCTGGAACTATAGACATGTTAAGTACAAATAATGTATTAGAAACTATTGGTAGTCCAGGAGTTAGTGGACCCAGAGGTCTACCAGGTACACCAGGATTAGTAAGTATTCTAATTATTAAATTAGAATAAGAGATTTCGCTTATTTTTAAATATTTTATTATTTTTTTAAATTTGAATATTATTCTAAAATTCCGAAGTGCATATTTTTATAAAAAATTAGCCAGGTGAGAGAGGACCTTCTGGAGAAAGAGGTCCAGAAGGTAAAATAGGATTACCTGGAATACCAGGAAAAGATGGAGCTCCAGGACTTCAAGGACCACCAGGAATTAGGGGACAAACTGGAATACCAGGAGTTCAAGGACCACCAGGCCGAAGTATTACTGATTCAGAAATTCGAGATATATGTGCCAGTGTGTTACGAGGTGAATATTTAAATATTATTTCATATACTTACTCTATTTACTTATTTTATTAATGATATTTTATTGAAATAGAATAAAAGGTGGAAATTATTATTATATTATCTAAAATAATAAAATTGAATAATTGTAGACAATTCGTAAAGAATCTGATTGTCTGTCTAAGAAATGTCAAAATAATGACAAAAGCATAAAATATAAAAATGTTGGAATAGTAAAAATATTTTTACATAATGTGAGCTGTTCTTTGTATAATGTTTATGTAAAAAAAAAGAAGTAGAAAGATAACTATTCCTTTTATTGCGGCTGTATATATATAGAGCAGATGACTGAGATGGCAGCACAGATACAAGGTCCACCTGGTCCACCTGGCCGAGGCCGTCCAGGTCGTCCTGGATCACCTGGTCCACAAGGTCGTCCAGGTATACCCCTGAAAAAAGGATTACCAATTTAATTTACCTGCATTCAATCCTAAAACCACAATAGAACATGATGGTGATATTGCTATGGATTTTTGTTATTTTTTTCATTTTTAAAATAATCCTAAAAATCCATAGTAAATGGTGAATAGTTATTGCACAATAATATCCTTAGCGTTCCTGAAATATCACAATGATATTCGTCGTCATTATTCTGTCATAAATTGCTTGAAGTTCCACCTTCATCCGTAGTTAGTATTCAGTCAGTATTCATCAGTGTATGATTTATTTACCTACACGCACGTCCGCTCGATTAACAATCAATCGATCGGAAATTAATAACTCATATGGTTGTGTACATCGATAAAGGCGATGGAATCTTGCATGTGTCACAGAGAAGCTGAAAGAACTAACAGAAGGTCTACGAGGACCACCCGGGTTGCCGGGGTTGGCCCGACAGGGCCGTCCCGGTCGAGCCGGAACCCAAGGCATCCCAGGTATCTACTTGAGATGAAATATCCTAATTCTATTATTTTCTTATGCTTTTTATAGCGATTTAGTCTAATCTAATTAATTAAATTTAATCCATTATTCCTTGTATTAAAATTAACTTTAGAAAAAGGAAATAATATATTTAATTTTTATATATAGTTATAAGTAATTAGCAATGCATGCTCATAATATTAAATATCTTAATAATATATTTTTTAAACCTTACTTATTTTTTAAACCTTAAAATTAGAATTAATTTATAATGGAAAATTATTTTTTAGGTGATCCAGGTCTTCCAGGTTTACCTGGGGAACGTGGTTTTATTGGTTTACCAGGACCACAAGGCCATATAGGACCTCAAGGTCCACCTGGTGAACGGGGAGAAAAGGGTGATAGAGGTCCGGAAGGTGTCGGTGTAGAAGGTCCTATGGGTCCAAGAGGACCGTCTGGTAATACATGAACTCTTTTCTTTCATTATCTTGATAAATTTAGTATTCTTTTTTTTTATGCATTTCATATTAATAGGGCCACCTGGCAATGATGGCGTTGGATTACCTGGAAGACAAGGAGAACGTGGAGAATCAGGCAGACCAGGTATAAAAAAAATTAAAAATACGTTTTTAAATTCTTTTTCAGATATTTTTAGTTTCGTTTATCGACAGGTATTCCTGGGATGAGGGGACCACCTGGACCTCAAGGATTACCTGGTTTTTGCGAGTTATGCAATTATTCAAGTGCTAATTATTTACAATATACTCGCGGCAATGAGAAAGGACCCTAATTTATGAGTTAGTAATTTATTTTTATCAATTTTAAAAAAAATAAAATTTTTAACTGTAAAAAAAATAATTAATAGCTAAAATATCAAATTTTTTGCTTAATAATACTAAAAATATCTTTTAAATCATTACCGTATGAAATGTATTTCTTCTTTGTATATTTACGTAAAATAAGAATTCATGAAATAAGAATTCATGAATAATCTAATTAAACTATTATTTAATTATATATTGTAATTCAATTAGTATATCAAATCAGATATTTTTAAATATCGTTATAAGTGAATATTTTTTAAATAAAAATAAAGTAAATAAAAAAAATCTTTTGTATTAATTTTATATGATATATAAGTACTCACATATTTCGCCATTATTCACGACTATCGCGCGCGCAATGGTCCAGTTCCTTGTTCTTCCGTCTAAAGAGGCGATGGCGCCACTAACAGTGCCAGTTGAAATTAGTGATGGCCGCGAGGCTCGTGATGCACAATACGTCGAGATTGCATTGAGTTTGTTTACTGCAAGATTTTTGTGTTGGGTAAAATTTAGTAACTTTCATTCGAAGCAGGTTCAATATTATTACATATTCGTGTGAAAATTACATTCGGATAAATTGTATTCGTTGTAACAGTTCATAGAATCGACGCTTTTAGTTTTCTTGACAGTTCTGTCCCGTGTTCAGAATAGTACTCGAGTGCCACGAGAAGTGTCGTTGCATCGCCACTCAGGCGACTTTCTCAGAACAGCAGTTGTTCTAATGACATATGTGATATAACGATACGAAAAGAATCTTTGTTGGGGACGACGACCCCACACCGTCGGCACTTTTTTCTTCTCACCCTTCCTGGAGACACGCGTATCAAAAGCGTCCAAGGTATGTACACCGGCAGGCCAGGTTAGGTACATCACTGTGTCTCGTGACGGCGTTCCGAACTATGTTGATTGATTACACATGCATGATTTCGTATGTTTTTTGTATTATGATTAATGAATAGATTATATATAATTTCATAAAAAATAGAAAATTCGTAACAATTTTTAATATTTTTCTATTTTATATTCATATATCATTATCAAATTATCAATGTTTATTACTTTATTAGCTGCAGATAATGAATTTTATTCTGAAATATACATGGAAAATGATTTAAATGAATGATAATTATGATTATTTGTGATTAATTAAAAAATATAAATATTAAATTGTATTAGAATAGAATAATATTTGAAAAAAATGATTATTTTTCAATTTTGTTATTAAAATCGATGCATTGAAAATACTAATACGGTTTCACGGATTTTAAAGCTTTAATTTTGTTGCACCTGCAAAAAGAATATTATCTTATTTATAAAATACCGTTATGGTATATTATAACGGCAACGATAAACCTCGACAAATAAGATTAACTTTATATGCGTCTAATGTAATATAACGGACATTGTCCCAACAAATATATCCTATCTAGCAAAGGAAGTGTTTGTTCCCCTTCTAAACAATGTTCCACTGACACACGTTACTTCCTCTACTCGGCACTGGTCCAAAACATTATTCTCAGTTGATTCACATTGTCAGATACCATTAATAACAGTTTTTTAGAGCATGGAATATCACTATATAATCATTAAAATTGATTTATAATCCAATTATATATTGTTAGAAATTATATAATACTTTCAATAATTAATATTTATCCTTAATTTTATGATATATATTTGAAGATTTATATTTGGATTACTTTGAAAATATAAATGTTAATATTTTATTATCAATTATTCATACTATAAAGTTTTATAATATTAACTTTATAATATAGATTTCAATATTATATTCCAGATTGTATGATATTGTTAAAGATTATTTGTTTGATTTTCTTCATCTATATATCAAGATTGACATTATTTTGACAAGAATCTAAATTATGAGAAATCCGAAATTAACCGCGCCTTTTGATCACTCCGTTTCGCATGTTCCTCTGTACGCATTGAAACTGTCCCACATTCCCGGCCGTTCCTCTGTTTCCTCGGGCGATCTTATACACCCCTACCTGGCCCACTTATTGTATTGATTCAAACTTAAGCATCTGCACGTTCCTCATTCCTTTCCAACTTCCTGCTTGATGATCTACCTTTAACTTCCTGTTTGATCCTTCCGATAATTTATATTTCACATTATTTTACAATAATTTTATTACGGGAAATGAACTAGACAAAATCGATATACTTGGAAACTTTTTGGTTATATTTATCTGGTGAAATTTTTTTTTTATATTGTTTCAATTTCTCTGTTTCTCTGTTTTATTCAATAAGTTATTTAATTTTTTTTTTACTCACAACATATTTTTGATATCGTTTTAATGTTAGAATTCTGTATGTTCAAGATTTATGACTGATATTATTGATCGTACGTATTGCTGTTTATAATAGTATATATTTGGGATCGAAAGCTTTTGTCATTAACAACTTTCGTTGAAATGTTTTCTCTTTATTCGTATAACATATTCTCTCGCGATTAACGATCAACATATTTTTTAGTTTAGTTATAAATAAAAATGAAATAAAAATATGTTTTTCATAATGAAAGTTTCGTTACAAAAAATTTTTTTCATTTATGAAATATTTTTTTTTATTGTGATATCGATATTTCTTTTTGATATCAATATTTCTCAATTATATAAATTACTATATATATATATTACTACATGTATATATATATTACTACATGTATATATAATAATGTTATATTTTTGGATCAAATACATTTCAATTTGCAATGAATATATGGTAAAAAATTTACGAAAATTATATATATATTTCTTTTTACATAATTTTCTATATATTTAAATATGAAATGAATAGCTTTCATTTTTAATATAATTTTAAGTTAAAGTATTGTAATGAATTATTTGAATAAATTTGAATGAATTTTTTTTTTTTTTAAATAAAATACATTCTCTCTTCTCAAATTCTCAATTCAAATTCAAATATTTACAATATAGTATTTTTTGCAAGATTAACAGATATTTATTTCAATTTGTAAAATTTATATTTAATATATCAATATTCAGTATTCAGTACATCAATTTCATAAATATTTATATATTTAATTATAAATTATTGACGTATATGACAAACAAATTTAATAAAATAAATGATTTATTAATAACTTAATAAATCACATATTATTTTTTATTATTTATCAAAATTATTAAATAAACAATCGGAAAATAAAGAAATTGGAAAATAATAATCGATATTATTTGCGCTCAATTTATGTTTTTATGGAATAAAATTTAATTCACAAAAATGCTTCGAATTTTCGTGCGTTATGCACATTGATTATTTCGCGGAAAAATTAGGAATAAAATCTTTTCTTTTTCTCTTTTTTTTAATAAATAAAATTTGTTAGGCGCACGCGAATATATTCATGGCGACTAAGGGCTATCGTAAAATATCGATTAGTCAGTTCAGAAACCTACATAGTTTTTATTGCATTTATCCCGACCGTCTCTATATTTACCATGCATTCCACGTGGCAATCTACTTTCTTTTGTTTTATGTGCTTTCTGCATGTTGTTGGTGATATTAACTAGATCAGCTAAAAAAGCTTTGTTCGTGGTATACAAACTAGCTTTCGGTACAAAGCTTTGCGAAACGAAGCTCAATGGGATTACATAAGTTATCCTGTTGAGGTTTCCCTTTCCCTCTTTTGTTCCCCGTCGATTTAACATTACATTCTATTCTATTTACTAAATAGTTTTCCACTTTCATGTATTTAAGACATTGTTAAGCATTAATCGTTATTGGGCACGCCAATTGAATCAAATTGTATTACACAAAGCCGATTCGTGAAATTGATTAAATACTATGATTGAACATGATGTTTTCATCAGAATACTTACTTTTTATTGTTTGATATTTGATATGTAAATGATTTGATATTTGAATAATGAACTAAAAATAATTAAAAAATAACTTTCTATTGTTAATAATAGATAGTAAAATCATGATATAAAATAAAATTATTATATTTTCAATCTATTTTCTCATAACCTAACTATTAATTTTCTCATAACCTAATCTTAATCTTCCTCGGATATCACATTGATTTTAAAACTATAATTGTTCAATTGTAATACATAAATATAGATCAATATGTCCTAAAAATATGTATTCGAAAATAAAATGTGTAATCATGACCAACGTACATGTTGAAAAAAATCGATGCGCTCCGGTTTTTAGAACTGGTGAAGGTATTATTATCGCAACGTTGCAGTAACCCGATGCTATAGTCAATCGAGCACAACGAAGAATCGATTTACATTATACATATACATGTGCATAAGAAAAATGTTCGAAAAAAAGAGAGAGAAGAAGAAAAAAATGAAAAAGAAAAAAAAGAGGAAAATTTGTGCGTGTGTATGTCGATTATTGGAGTATAGGGGATGGTCGAAGTCCGGAAAGCAGTTACGAAGTTCATTGCGCCGCGTAATTAAAGCGCGAAGTGGTGAACAATACGAGAATGTCGATGCTGGTCCGCCCTTCGAACAAAACCTCTTCACATTCGCGCCGTTTGTGTAACAACCTTTAATGACTATGAACGAACCTCATCGAAGGAATCATATCTTCATTCATTTCAGAAAAATGTTCAGAAAAAAGCTAATGAAGAATGGAAGCTGGTCCTCGAGAAGGGGGTATAATTTTTAATATAATATAATTTAATATAATAATTCTTGAAGAATAGCTATTTTATTATGTACATTTGAGAAATATTAATCAACTTATTTGAATTCGATTCACTTGAAGTGAATCAAAGTGGATACTTGATGGAAACAATATTGAAAGAAGTGATTATCTATACGAATGTTAATTGCAATGTCGATTATAATTGTAAATATAAAATTTTCCTTTCTTGTTTTAAAATATAGATAATTTATCGTTAATCTTAAAGCATTATTTTATGATTAATATTATTTTTTTTGAAATGATTTATTACAAAAAATTTTTCTCCTCTTTCAAAATTTTGCTTATTATATTTAATCTGCTCCATTATTTTTAATTGAAAATATTTATTAATTCTATGTATATTTAAAACAAATGAGATGTAAATACATCTCAAAACATAAGAAAATAAAAGATAAATTAGAACAATAATTACAGTAATCAATACTGTTTAAATAATGAAAAAAAAATGAAGCTTGTTCAAGAATTGACAATTTGAAGCGACTTGTTGAAGAAAATATTGAATCTTCAGCACATTGTGTTCATAACCTATTCATTTCAATTATTAAAGGTAAAAACCTAATATGAACGAGTAGTTGTACTCGAAGCGATACTCACGTTTTCGAGGAATCATCGAGAAGCTATTTTCGTAGCTCGACGAGAAATGCCGTTTGTTTTGTTGGTCCTCTAAAGCACGGCCATGTATACTCGAGTGTATTCAAGTATATTCACGATCCACGACGAACCGGTAGAGAAAATACCGAATTCCCGTTTCGTTCGGATTTAGTACACCACCTCTTCGGATGAGATTTGAAACACTTGAATAAACTTGTTTTTACGTTGCTTTTTCAAGTTTCAAAGTAATATGAATGATATTCTTAAAAAAAAAAAAAAAAAAGAAAAGAAAAGAAAAGAAGAAAAAAAAAAACAAAATACTATTTTAACATATTTTTTAATTAAATTAAAGAAATATATATTTTTTATTTAAATGATATATTTAATGAATAATATCATAGATTAAAAAAAGATTATTATAAAATTTTAGATTTAATGAAACATATTTCATTATGATAATTGAGACGATAGTGAGCAGATAGTGATACTTTTAGAAGGAAAAAATAATTTTATTCATTATTTAAAATCTGATCAACA